CAGAAGCAACAGCAGAAAACACTCAACGCCAAAGACACATGGGCTTCGCTAGGAATCTCATTTATCAAGTAAGGCTAAAGGTCACAAGTTCATCAATCTTGCTTTTGTAAAAGATTACATTTAAAATATGTAAATTTTAAAAAGTTAAGCCACACTGAAAAATAACAAAACATGATTTTTAAATTTATTCCTTCTACTACAGAATGAAGAAGTTGTTCAGATGGTGTCACAGCAGCAGGTGGAGCTTGAAAACCATCAAAAAAGCAGCTTTGAAGTAGATGGCTTGCTAAAAGAACTAGAGGAAGAGAAGGAGAGGACGGTCCGTGCCCACATGGAGCTAAAAACTTTAAAAAACAAAATGATGTCCATCAAGAGTCAGGGGAGCTTTGAGGAAACAGAAGTACTGCAGTACTACCGAGATCCTAAACTGGAAGGTGATCTGGCTCATTTAAAGAACAAACTTAACAATGAAGTCCTGAGGCAGAGCTCAACCCAGTCAGAGATTGAAGCAATAAACAAGAAAATAAGTGAGCTCCAGGACGCCCTTAAACACATGTCCCCCAGACTGGTGACTAGAGAGGTAATAGAGCTTGAAGTAGATCCTCAGCTGGAGGAAGAGGCCGCCAAGATGCGACATGAGATAGCAAAAACTAGACATGAAATCCGAATGAAAGAAAGAGAGGAAGTCCAAATGAAGAAGGAAGTCACAGCTTTGCAGCAGAATGGATCACCAATCAAAGAGAGATTATTTGGTAGGGAAGGACAGGATGGCCAAACATTCAATGTATTAAGAACATTTGAATCTGACATTTCTGAGGAGAAAAATAAATGCAGGCTTCTCCATGATGAAATCTTTCAGATAAGAAATCAGATAAACACACTTGAAAAGCTTATTCCGAACATTCAGTCAAAAGCCCTTACTAGGGAGGTAAGAAGGGTTGAGCAAGACCCTGAACTTCTCGCAGAATTCAGCAAGCTCCAAACAAGCTTGGAGGAAGAGAAGTCTGAAAATAGCTTTTTGTCGAAGGAAATATTGGAGCTACAGAAACGCTACAGAGAGGTTCAAGACAGGACGGCAGGTTTCGAGGTGAAAGAAGTTGTAAACGAGATCTATGTAACCGACCCTAATACAGAGATGGAGATTACTCGTCTTCGAAAAGAAATAGAGGATTCAGATGTACAATTTGCTGATCTTAAAAATGAGATTGCAGCGGTAACTGCTGATTTGAACAGGCTTTATTCAGAGAAACCAAGAGTAGAACTCAAAGAAGTTCTCCAAGAGGTGGTAAAAGAGGAAAGAAGCCCTGAAAACAAGCGAGAGATCCAAAGGCTTAATGATCAGGAGAACCGCCTGAGCAGCCAGTGTACATCCCTCCAGGACCAAGTTAGACAACTGCGTAAAGAGAGAGACGAATGGAAGGAGGAAAAGTCAAAAATAGAGACCCAAATTGTCTCCAGAGATGTAATCAAGTATGAGCCAGATCCACTGCTAGAGAAGGAAGCTGACCGTTTGCGCAGGGCCGTGCGAGAGGAAGCACAAATAAGGCGAAATATTGAGGAGATGGTTTTTGACCTACAACACAAATACATTCTGTTGGAGAGACAGAAACCAGAAGAGAAACTGGTTGTTCAGGAGGTTGTACGCCTTAAGAGGGACTCAAGGCAAGTAGAGGAATATGATAGGCTCAGCAGGAGGCTGGATGAAGAATTAAAGAGTCGTCGTCAGTTGGATCTAGAGGTACAGCAACTAAGAACCAAGTTGGAAGACAAAGAGTGTACTTTAAGGGAGAGTGATGAGCGCAAAAAAAGGATTGAAGCTGAATCAAAGCTTAAAGAGATCCGACTACGCATCACACAACTGGAAAATACCCCACATTCGGTTGAGGAGAGTGTAGTAGTTGAGGAAGTACTGAAGATTGAAAGAGATCCAAAGCTGGAGAGAATGACAAATGGTTTGCGTTTTGATATGGAGAAGGAAACTCACAATATTCTGCGCCTACAGAGGGAAATCCGTAATGTCAATTTAAAGCTTCAGATTCTGCAGAAAGAGAAGTCTAATGAAAAGACGGTGTACAAAGAGGTTGTTCGTGTGGAGAAAGATCAAGCTCTTGAAGCTGAGAGACGTCGTCTGAGGGAGCAGGTGTCACAGAACAAATTTGCCAGACAAGACAAGGAGGACGAAATTAGACGTCTCAATAACAAAGTCAACATTTTGATGAGCACGAAATCTAATAATTCAAGAGATGAGGTAACTCTTAATCAAAACAAAGAGGCCCTATTAAGGGAAAATAACAGTTTGACCAGAGAACTCAGGACTCTTGAAGCAAAGAAACACGACATACATCTCTCTTTCCAGCAACGCAGTCGACTGATGAGTGAAAGATCACACATGAGCAAAAAGAGAAGTCTGAAGATGGAATCGGATGTCCAGCAGTTGGAGAGGCAGATCTTGGAAGAGAAAGATAAGATTCATCAACGGGACAGTACAATCCATGAGATTCTGATGCACCTACAGAAAGAGGAACAAGGGGAGACCATGACCAAAGAAACCAATGTCTCTACCAAAATCACAATTTTGGATCCAGAAACTGGCAAAGACATGTCTCCTTATGATGCCTACATCGGGGGGCTGGTTGATCGCCAGCAGTATATTCAACTGGAGGAGCTAGAATGTGATTGGGAAGATGTAACCTCCGTGGGCCCTGATGGAGAAACATCTGTCCTACAAGATCGTAAGAGTGGAAAGCAGTATCCTGTCAGAGATGCTATTAAGGAAGGAAGACTAACAGAGTATGATTTACAATTGTACAAACAAGGCAAGCTTCCTATCTCAGAGTTTGCTCTTCTTGTTGCAGGTGATAAGAACAAGCAATCCAAATTCAACTCAGACACCCAAAAGCCAAATCCATCAGTGAAATCTCCATCTTTAGACATTACCTCTGCCATTGAACTGCAGCCAATTGCAGGAATATTGGACACATATACAGACACCTGCTTTACCATCCACAACGCCACTTTGCAAAAGTTGATTGACCCTATTACTGCCCAAAGGCTGTTGGAGGCTCAAGCGGCAACAGGGGGCATCATCGACATCAGTAATAGTGAGAGATATAAAGTTCACAAGGCGGCACAAAGAGGTCTCATTGAGGGTAGCCAAGTCCAAAGGCTGCTTAATGCAGAGAAAGCTTTCACTGGAGTTGAAGACCCCATGACCAAAGAACGTCTGTCTGTCGGAGAAGCCGTTCAGAAGGGCTGGATGCCAAAAGATTCAGCAATTCGATACATGGAGGCCCAGCACCTGACGGGGGGGCTAGTAGATCCCGCTACTGGTCGCAGAGTTGACATTTGTGATGCCATTGGATCAGAAATGATTGACGGCACAACAATGAAGTATTTGCAAAATGAGGAAGGCTACAAAAAGGACATCATAGACCCTATCACAAAGGATAAGATCAACTACAAGGAAGCTCTGAGTCATTGTAAGAAAGACCCAGCGTCAGGCTTACCGATGTTGCCTGCCTCCTCCAAAGAGTCTGAATATACCCCAGCAAACAACTCTTCAAAATTTTTCCATTTCTGAATTCACTTTAAATGAATACCACAAGTATTTAAGATGACTCAAACTTTCATCACTTTTATCTCATAAAAGAATTGAAGAAGGTTAAGTTTGATAATTTGACCAGTCAATTTTATGAGTCGGTAGGTAAAGAACATAAACTTCTTCTGAGCATCTAACTCTGAGGCCATAATAACCATTGCAACAGTATGCTAGGAACAGTAGGAACAGATCAAGAAACCTATATCAATTAGGTTTCATTTATTTAAAAGTTAGCATGGAGGCAGAAGATATGGAGGATAAAACAGAGATAACTGTTAAGTGTAAATGGTATGCAGAACTGAACGGGAAAATGCCAGACACAACCGAACCGCTCTAACATGGTACTAGTTCATCAGTAGGACTCGGCACAGTTCAGTTCAGGTTCGGTTCTCAGATAACAAAGAGTGCATGAGCAGACCGCGTCATCTTCTGACAGTTAGCCTCCGTATTCATGAAACTTCAGACATTCATAAAAATACTAGCTTTTCTCCTGTGCCACATGATTTCCAGTGATGATTCTGCTTAGCAGTGTGATGAATCTCAACGTCTGTTGTTGTTTCCTGCGTCTGTAAGTCCCAATTGGACTGTCGTTTTTTAATATCCACTACCAAACGCTGACATTGTCAACTAAATTCAACAAAGGCTGCCTTCTTCGCCTGACCCTCCGCAAACTTCCTGAATGTTACGGGCGCCGCCATGTTGGTTTGCTTGTTTAACTCTTGAGAGCAGTAGTACTTCAGACCGCCACTAGGAGGCGAGGAACCACGTTAGCATGGTGTGTAAATGGTCTTAAGGAACAGAGATCAGCACTGTTAACTGATTGAAGCTTGGCACAGGTCGGTTTTCAGAGGGTAGTGGAAATGGGGCTAATCTTTCTTGATTGTACACTAGGCAGCTAGAGAATCCTGAAACAAAAAATAGAATCATGAAATTTGTTTAGATCCTTTTTCACTTACTAAGCATGGACAAAGTTTTAATTGTCAAACTTACACAAAAAGACTAGCAATAATAGCTGGAGCAGAGAGAAACCAAGGCTGAGGATGTGCACAGAAGGAACCTGCTGTTTATCAGTTGTGGTTTGTGGACGTAGATTTAGACGGAAATGTAGTGGAAGCATAATGGAGCATTTGCTGAAAAACTGAGAAAGCATATTGTACATTTGAAAGCTGAAGCATATCAAAACAAGGAGTTAAGATGTAGATCGCGCGTGTAAATAAAATACTAAGCGATATTCAGGGTAGGTATTTGGTACTGGTCAAGATTGTTGAGGGTGTTGATGGTTAAAAATGGCTGTGGCTTTGTTTTTGGTTGATGGCAGTCAAAAACTGATAATGCCCATGTCAATTCCTAGCAACAGCAATAATACTTATGCAAGCTTGGAATCCTGGGGTTGTAAGTTTAAAACCCACTCCCACAGACTGCCACTCTGGGTTTCTGAGCAAGACCCCAGATTGCTCCCGGGCGCCACACAATGGCAGCCCACTGCTCCCCAAGTGGATGGGTTAGACTCAGAGGTACAGGGAGTGGTGGCCTAGTGGTTAGGGCATAGAGCTTGGAACCCTGGGGTTCTGAGTTGAAAACCCACTCCCACAGACTGCCACTCTGGGTTTCTGAGCGAGACCCCTGACTCCTGGGTGCCCTGTGATGGCAGCCCACTGCTCCCCAAGTGGATGGGTTGAATGCAGAAGTAGATTTCTCTAATGTGAGATCAATAAAGTTAAATTATTATTATTAAAATGAAGATAGTCGGCTGCATAATGAAAAGCTTACAAGATCTGTTAATAAAATATGTACTCATGTATTTGACCAACGAGGGAAGCCAGGAAGAGAGTTTGCTTGGTTGTTTAGGTTGGAGTTTGCTGCTCCTGGTGTTGTTTGGTCCAGTTATTTCAGGTGTTACTGCTGTCTTTTCTGGTGGATTGGCTTCCATTGCAGCTTTTATGATTAAATCCATAGAGAAATGCTTAGCTTAGCCTCCTGTTTTACTGGGGAGCTGATCCACGACTGACTGTGCCAACATTGAGAATTGTGTCAAAGTCCAAGAGTGTGCTAATGACTGGAGGTGTGATATAAGTTTATCTGTATTCTGAACTTAAGTCAACATATATCTTATTTATGTTTACTATTAAGTGCTTTGTGTTTTCTTTAGGTTTGGTTATGAAATATACTTTTGTTAATGACAATATAATAGATTAACTCAGAAGATATACTGTTAAATCATAGTAATTTGAATGACAGAATGATTCCTAATGAGGTGCATTTTTCTTAACTAAAAATCCTGTAGGGGAAATATTTGTTCTCTTTTGATGTAATATAAATAAACTGTATATACACTGTTTATATTGAGTAGTATTGTTATTAGAAAATATGAGACATGATGATTTTAGCTTGATTCTGTGTTTAATTAATACTAATTAATAAGATTGTTTGATGTTTTATGGAGAATCAGAGTTGTTAAAAATAAACTTGGCATTGAATAAAAGCATTTAAATCTTGCCCTCTTGTTAATCAGTACTATGTTCAATCTATCAATTTACGCATCCATTGTTGGCTGGTGCCCATCTCCAAAGGTCATTGGGCAAGGGACATGGATGACGTAGATCCTGGACAGGCCATAAATCTGTTATCTTGAATATTATCATCAACACAGACTATAGAAAGGTGTGTAATTCAGGACACTATAATTCACAGATAAGATTATTTTCAGTCTCAAATTCATGAACAAAGCACCAAACCTTGTGAAGATGCAGGCTTTTTAGATTCACTACGAGTCTCAACAATCCTCGCATTTTCACAAGCCCAGAAATACTGTTGCATTTCCGACCTCAGCTGTCAGCAATTCAAAGATTATCTTGCTTTCAGATAAGATATTTCTATGAACTGAACTTTAACCAAGTTAAGCCAACTGGGAACAGCTAATGGGTTCTGTGGAGCAGCTGGGATAGCGGTCACAGATTTGTTTTTTTGAAACTTGGATGACCTCTAAGCTCAAAGTAACATCTTTTAAATAAGAAATAAAAAAAAAAACTCTTAGTATGAAGGACCAGAAGAGTCACTGAAAAAGAAAACCAGCCTTTTCATTTTTAAAATCTAAATCGTGCAAATTGAAATTTGAAAAGCATTTTTAACGACAGATTTTAACCCTTCTAACCCTTTTTTTTCCAATCACCTGAAAATGACGGAGTAATTAGGGCCATGCTAGAGATTTTTTTCCCTTCTATTACGAAAATAAAGTCTTAATATTATGAGAATGAAGTCATCATACACCAACCCTTTTCAGAAAGAAAGCTTCGATCTCCGACCAGCAGATTATGTCCAACCAGCTCCACCAATCAGCAACCAGAGTCCACTTTGACATCCTGCCCAGTTTGATGCTGCTGCTAAAAGATTTCCTGATTGGTCAAACCGATGCTAAAGTAGAACTTCACATGATGCTCCACATTCCTCATTTTAGGGAAGAAAGGGCTTCTTCTTAGAGTTGACATAAAATACAACTTGTTTCTCGTAATTTAAGGACTTTATTCTCCTAATATTACGACTTTATTCTCGTATTTTTATGATTATTCTCGTGAATTTTTTCTCGCAATTTTATGAATATTCTCATAATTCTACGACTTTCTTGAAATAGAAGAAAAGAAATCTCTAGCCTGGCCCTAATACTCCGTCATACCTGAACACAACACAAGACACACCCTTGAGTCTAACCAATCATAGAGCACAAGCGCATTTTATAAGCTGAGGTGAGTTTCGCCAATCAGTTGTGTGGGGGGGAAGCCACCAGAGCACCTGCACTACCGTGGTCTTTAGGAACCGACAGGTGGCGCTGTGTGTTGAATATCTGCAGGAATTGGCCAGGTGAAGCCAGTTGTTGTTCAATTAATGGCGAGCTGCTACCTGGAATAGAACCTGCCTTACAACATATGTTGTCAATAGTCATAAAAATATTAGAATAAAGTTAGATAAAGTAAAGAAAGCTTTGATCTCCGACCAGCAGATGACGGCCAACCAGCTCCACCAATCAGCAACCAGAGACCACTTTGACAAACTGCCCAGTTTGATGCTGGTGTGTTAGCTCCATCTCTGCAGTCACAAAGGAGGCATCGATACAATGGCAGAAAATGGAAAGTCTGCGCACATTTAAACATATTCTACTCGTATGTTATTGTACATGCAGTCATTAATAGCCCAAGAAAATCATCCCATTTATGTGGATTCTTTGGAGACCAGGCCCTCAGACTTTACTGAAACATAACAAGACAGTGAATTAGTGCTTA